TTAAAGACGGGGTTTCACCATGTTGGTCAGGCTGGTCTTGAACTCCCAGCCTCAGGTGATCCACCTGCCTTGGCCTCCAAAGTGCTTGGATTACAGGTGTGAGCCACCACGCCTGGCCTGGGATTTTTTTTTTGAGATGGAGTTTCTCTCTTCTTGCTCTTATTGCCTATGCAGGAGTGCAATGGCGTGATCTTGGCTTACCACAACTTCTGCCTCCCAGGCAGTTCTCCAGCCTCAGCCTCCTGGGTAGCTGGGATTACAGGCATGTGCCACCATGCCTGGTTAATTTTGTATTTTTAGTAGAGACACAATTTCTCCATGTTGGTCAGGCTAGTCTCAAACTCCCAACATCAGGCGATCTGCTCACCTTGGCCTCCCAAGTTCTGGGATGACAAGCGTGAACCACCGTGCCCAGCCTGGGAGATTTTTATTTTTAAAATAGAGACAGGGTCTTACTTTCTTGCCCAGGTTGGTCTCAGACTCCCGACCTCAGGTGATCCACTCGCCTTGGCCTCTTAAAATGCTAGGATTTGAGACGTAGGTGTTGGCCACTGTGCCTGGCCTACTATTTTGGTTTTGCAATGTGAATGTTTAATGAGAAAATACATTCTTGTTTAATTTTTATTTTATTTTATTTTTTTGAGACTGGGTCTTGCTCTGTTGCCCATGCTAGAGTGCAGGGGCTCAATCATGGCTCACTGCAGCCTTGACCTTCCAGGCTCAAGTGATCCTCCCACCTCAACCCAAGTCACCACACTAGGCTAATTTTTTAAATCTTTTGAGAGGGTCAGGTTTCACTGTGTTGCCCAGGCTGGGCTCAAACTCCTGGCTTCAAGCCATCCTTCTGCCTTGGCCTCCCAAAGTGCAGGAATTATGTGTGAGCCACTGTGCCCAGCCAATACTTTTTTTTTAAAGGCAAATTTTAATAAGAATGATCCTGGAGCAAAACAGTAGGGTTTAAAATGAATACATTTCAGCTACATGATTTTTGTGTGTGGCAGTTTAGGTACATCATGTACTCTAGGTTTTCCTGAAAATGATGATATCCCAACAGTTATTTAGACAGGATGGATTAATAGTTACATTTTCAACATGATGATTATTCCTCTACAAAGATAATTCTGTTTTTTTCAGCAGTTGCCTGTGGTTACCTCCAGTACCATTGTGAGATGCCGTTCATGCAGGACGTACATCAATCCTTTTGTCAGCTTTCTTGATCAAAGGAGATGGAAGTGTAACTTATGTTATCGAGTAAATGATGGTATGGCATGCTTTTTTGAAACGTTTAAACATTTCTACTTTCTTTTTTTTTTTTTTTTTTT